TATGAGAGAATATTGTCAACCTGTAATTCAAAAAAAAATATTTGAGGGCAATGACATAAAAGTATAGTGCAAATTGCAAAAATAAAGAAGCCAGTACCGTGGGGTCGAGTCATGGTGCATATTATAGGGTCACAGATCGATATGATCTATTACAACTGAAAGTGATAACATCACTTTCAAATGAACGCATAAATATATTTTATTGGCTTAATAAACATACCGAAAATTCCCAATAAAAAATCGGTTAAAATCCTTGGCCTTTTCTTTGACCGCCGTCTCACGTGGGCATCCCATATACAATACCTAAAGACCTCAACCAACAACGCTCTGAACATACTCAAAATACTATCCCACACAGCTTGGGGAGGTGATTCCGAAACACTAATCAAAATCCACAGATCTACTATACAGTCCAGACTAAACTATGGATCCATTATGTTCAAATCTGCAGCATACTCTATCCTAAAAGCAATTGATACTATCAACAACAGTGGATTAAGACTAGCTATAGGTGCTTTCCACAGTAGTCCAATTTTAAGCATATATAACATAACTGGAGAACACCTGCCCGAGATAAAAAGGATAGACTTAGCTCTAAAATACATGGTTAGAGCAGTTAGAGCCAACTTCAACTCACTCACAGAGGAAATACTGAAATTCACCAAGAATTAAAAGTAAACGGTATTAACACGGCTCAAATAATTCCAAGAGAACCAATGACCCACCCCCCTTGGATAGCTCATTACGCAATAAATACAGAACTAACTTCCCTCCTAAAACCTCAAACTCCTCCCCCAGTATACAGAAGTCATTTTCTCAGTAAACTAGAACAATATGAAGACTACCAAAAAGTATACACCGATGCTTCTAAATTTCAAGACGAAGTTGGCTTTTCAATAATATTCCAAAACAGAAATCTATTATTCAAACTTCCAAGCACATGTTCCATATTCTCGGCTGAAGCAATTGCGATACTCGAGGCAATAAAAAGAATAATACATGAAGAGCACTCAAAACATATTATTTTTAGTGACTCCCTAAGTACCCTCAACAGCATCAAAAACCAATTCCATCCCGGCGATATCGCAACAAAAATTCAAAACAAACTAAACGAAGCCTCAACTATGAACAAACAAATCACGCTCATGTGGGTTCCTGGACATGCAGTTATCAAAGGTAACGAGTTAGCCGACCAACAGGCTAAAATTGCCACCCAAAATGCGGAAGTAACATTAATACCAGGGCTAACATACGATGACTTAAAAACCCAGATTAATGAGATCTCCAACGACAAATGGCTTCAGTTATAGAAGCAACAAACTACCAAACTGAACACTATTAAAAGTTCCACTAACCGATGGATTAACAGCTTTCTAAAAAGGAAAGATGAAACAATACTAAACCGCATGCGAATCGGACACACGAGACTAACTCATGGTTATCTAATGGCTAAGGAAGAAACTCCTATATGTGTAGCTTGCGGTGTAAGACTGACCGTGAAACACATATTAACCGAATGCCTCAAGTACGAACAAGACAGACAAAGGATTGGAATCGACGCGACACTTGACACTTCACTAGGACCAGAACCCGAGAACAATGCCAAGATGATCGACTTCCTAAAATCAACTAACTTATATAACTTAATTTAAAAATTACACATTCTCTTCCTTTGTTCTTAATTATTAGAATACGCAAACATAATGTATACCTATTGTAAATGACTTTTGTTCCACCACATCTGAAACTAATGGCCATAGATGCCGGGTTGTATGTTATTACTAGATCAATAAAAAAAAAAAAAACATACCGAAAAAAATTGTTAAGATTAGTTAAATGAGACAACAGTAACAAAAGATCTATTCTTAGAAAGGGTTCGACTGAATGTTGGAGGAATCAATATTTTAGCTGTTATCAAATTATATTTTTTCCATCATATATCAATTATAATAAATAAAAAAATTCAATTCTTATATTTCCACATGACATGAACATTTTTGTATGGTTGTATATAATTAATTTTGAACCCGGACAAGTATTTTTTTTTTTCATTGTTTAGTCAATATATTGACCCCTCGCCTCCCCTCTTCCAAATGTAAAGGGTAAAGTTGAAAAACGAATGCCCAATTCGGAATCAGCGACCTCAAAGACATATTTTTATGTTAAATTTATAAGAATTACGCGTTTTAAATATTTCAGCTGTCTGTAAACACAGACACTGAGCTGCATAAAACGGCTTGGTTTTTGTATTACAAATTTTTTTTCTTTTTTGTTACAACCAGCATTTAATGATTATAATAATATCAATATTTACTATTGAAAATGTGTTTTACATGTTTTCGTTTCGACAAACTTAAATTTATAGTGTTTCGAAGTTTTAAATAAAAATCTCATCGACTGCCCAAGCGCAGTGTCGACATTGTAACGGTATAAAAAATACTTATTGTGACCAGACAAATTTATAATTGTATTTTGCGATTATTCGGTTTTTGTTTTAATCGAACGCTGTTTGTTCATCGGTCGTCGGCCAATTTTGTTGGTTTCCAAGATGAGTGTATTCGTCAAAACGATTATTGTACTGTTTTGTCTGTGCGCGTCGCCAAAGCTGTTGGATAGTTTAGAAGTACCAGTGAAAATTGATGAATTGAAAGAACACGAAGTGGCGGAGTTGCTCAAGCTGTGCGACCCGTTTAAGGAGTTAAAAATGCGCAATGTAACTATATACACCGTGACAGACATAAGTCAAGTCGTGAGAATCAGGAATTCGTATACGCTGTACCAAGGCACTGCGGAGCTCCGTGACTACATCATACCGGTTGGAGATAGGACTTTGTCCGAATTGTGCAACGACAAGACGCTTCGACATCTATACAAGGAAATATCGTTGAGAATAATAAACGTCGTGGAGAGCGTGGGCGTGTTCCTCCTTATCAAAATAAGTATGCTGGCCGGTCATATTGCGGGCTTGTCGCCGACGCCCCGGGAGGGTTTAAGGATCCTTCTGCCGACTATGGATAAAATCCACAGCAAATTCCAACAACTTTCCATATCCCTTGACCCGATCAAACACCTAGTAGAAGTCATTACGTCATTAGACAATAAAGTCAATATTAATTATTCGGATAGAGCAATCGTTGAAAACTCGTGTGTCAGATTTATGAACACGTATCTTTACTTGAACGGGTTCGTAGACATAGGAGATGTTGACGTGACCAACATTGACCCAAGTACTAACACTATAGAAGATTTTTTTATTCTTCAACTGGACTTCATAAACACGAACGTCGATAAATATTTTGTGCACATTACTTTGGAAGGGCAATGAAGTGCAATAGCTACATTCTCTAAGGATTTTCATTTAAGTATTAATTAATTCCAAACTATTTTATTGCTTATTATTATGTTTTCGATCAGAGATTTAATATGAATTCATATTATTTTACGTTTGTCATCACGATTGGCCGATAAAAAGCGTAGAAAATATTATACAGCAAATATTTGGAAATTTTTTCAAATATACAATATGTTAATATTATTATAAATTACATTTAATCATCTGTGCAAGCACTGTTACAATAATTTTGAATAAATTGTCTGTCATTTAATACATTTGTTCTATACACCTAATTGTATCATATCCCTTGGTAATTCCATATTTATTATTGTAATATATTTTTGAAATATCGTTTTGCTAGATATTTTGTTGTGTCCTTGGAGGAAATTAAATAAACGAACAGCGTGACGGTTTTTTGTTTTGTTCGCTGAACGTCATTCATAACAACGGTGGCTACAATCACGAACTACTACTAGTAGATACCTTAGTTGGTGCTGTCGACGGAAATTTTATCATAAAAGATGCCATAGATGCCTCTACAGTATTTATATTTCTTTGCGTTTAGTATCATTCGCTTCGCATGTATTTAAGTGCATGGTGTGTTTGCAAGGCAGAATTTTACATTGATTTTGGCAAGTGAATTATTGTCGTTTATACTATTAATTGGTTTATGCCGTATCTTATGGTGGCGTAGTGCTTCATAAAATTGTTGCGAACAGCTGTTTGTTCATTATACCTTTTGTCTTGTAGTATAAGGTACGTTCGCGTTTCATATCAGATAACCATTTCTCACATACCTTGCGTCTAGCGTCCTTGCAAACCGTATACACTGTGTAATTATTTCGTTTCTTCTGAATACATATACATTTTGATACAAATCCATGCCAAGAAACCGAGTCCATGGAAACAGTTTCGACTGAAAACTAATAGCAGAACAAATTTTACATCAACCATAGTCCAACAATCTCCACGGGGTTTGCATGAGCATGTATATTTTTATGATAAATGTTCTTTTTGTATTAAGTCTACTCTTAATAGTTTTATTTCAGATTTCAATGATCTCAAATTTAATATTTCTCGTTTTCCCGATTTCCCTATAGCTAACTATTGTCTGTCTAGTGATATTACACTTACAAGCTACACATAATTATTAATTATAATGTCAAAGATAAAATGTCTAGTCATGTAAATAATAATCTCTCCCCACAAATTATTCCCTTTACTAGTTTATGTACTGAATAATTGTACAGAAGTTTCAGTTGTAACATTGAAATATGTATATATATATATATATATATATATAGAGAGGGTTATCGATTAAGCCCACGATGATACTTGTATAAATTATTTTAATTGTTAGTAAGTGAGGTTTTTGTAAGATGTCGCACGTCAGCGCATGTGTTTCAAAAGTTACACTGAGCTTAAAAGCAAAAAATATTTAAAAATATGATTTTTTTTTTAAAGTATTGTTCATTACATATTTAAAATGCGGCTAGGTTAGGCATTGTCTCGAAAACACAAGTTCTTTTACTTTAGAAATCCACTGGTATGATTTGATGTGCGTTTTCCATTTTCACTGTTTACATAAATGAAAATACAGTAACCGTTTATGTAAAAAAAACGTGTACACGTTCAAAAGACTGTAAACATTATTTACATACCCATATTGAGCTTGCGTTATAATAACGTACACCTAACGTCGACAAAATACCTATACAGGGTCTTTTCATCGAAATATAGAATGCAGTAGAAACAAGGTTGGCAAACATTTAAATACAAGAATTTTCATTTAATATATGACAAGAATGTATTATGTGGTTTTTACCAATCGCGTCACATAAACTATATACATAATCGAATGGAATTTCAATGTTCATCCGACTTTTGTCAACGAAGCTTACTTCTATTAAGGTTAGGTTAAACTAAACGTTAAAAAAAACCATTATGCAATTCAAAATTGCTATTATTCTTTTCGCGATTAACTTGGTGACGGTGACACGGGTTAGTATAAAACATTAATAATAATAATAATTTCAACAAAACTGTCGGTAATTAATAGTATTACTGTTATTGTACTCATGATACCTCATAGAGCATCGGACTCAATAAGTATCAAGTCCAAAAGGTTTCTATTTTTTTCGAAGAACACGAAAAACCCTTAAGCAAAATTCCCAAGGCAGGTTGCAACAAATTGGCGAATGATTTTGGCAAAAAGATTGTTCAACTGTTGAGACCATCTGCAAACAAAATTCTAATGAGAGATATGGTAAAATTGGCGAACGAGTTTGAAATGAAAAATGTTTCATATTATTTTAAATACAACAAAGGTAATAAACTTTATTCGAACAAGGTTTTATGTTTTTTTGGTGATAACCGAATGTTGTCGGTATAAAATAACATCCGTCTTTTCGGTATTTAATGTTTTATCAGCCTAACGCATTCAATGGCTAACACGATTGAGAAATAGTTAACAATATTTTTAAATATTTTCTTAACTACAGATGCGTCCAACAATCAAAAAGTACAAGATCTATTGGTATATCTGGCCAGCTACGATAAGGGTGCCGACGACTGGAGGAAGGTGATAACAAAACAAAATATTGAAAAATTACGGATTAATTTTCTTTTTTTATTTCTATACATATTGTTTTTACATAGACACCAAGCTTAACGTCTTACGAAGTCAGAATTTTATTGGGCCTGTTTAATGAATTCAATATCTATGTGCCTCACGCTAGTCGACATCACTTGCTCATTGCCTGTTTAAATCTACACAAGTCCGTCAAATACAGCTTATTGGCCGTCTTAGACGTCCTATTAGGAGAAGGTATTATTGAACAAACTAAGAAAGTTAACTATGTATAGCCAAGTTCGATAATTTTAAATTAATTATTAGGTGGCGGTGCAATTAACGCCGCGAAGTTCTTGGAAGGCTATTTGAACATAAAACCACAAGTCTGTATATAGTTTAGTCAAATACTAGATAAAATACATGACATATAGCTTTGCTTTAGACTTTAGTATACCTAAGTCTGTATAAAAGTATTTGTAAATAATAGCCTATTAGCATAAAAAAAACTCCAGTCATACTTTTTTTGTTTACATGATAACAATTGTACTTAGGGCAAAGGTCTAGACGTGAATCAAGTTCAGAAACTAATCAGTTTACACAAAAATCACAAAACAGACGATGATCACATTAAACCTGTCGAAATAACAAAGTTATTCAACAAGCTCTCTATAGTTACAGAAGACCATAAAAACCGATTGATCTTTCCATCCATCCGTAAGAATAAATTAATAATATTATTCTATGCGGACTTTGCAAAATTACTTTTTATCTATACAAATCAATAGGTAATAACTATCTTTTACTTAATCATATTTTATTTTTTGAATATTTAAGATAAAATACGGTTTGTATATTTATTTACGAATATTTAATGTTAAATTAATGAACAATAATTTTGAATCCGTAAATAATAAATAATGTATATGGTTTTATTTATAAAGTTTTTATGTGTATTTTGATTATAGGATCTGCTGCTTTGGAGTTGGAAGAGCTGTTGATTGTTACTGTAGAATACGACAATGAGGTCGACGTAAAAGTAATACTAATCATTTAATTTCGATTGAATTTTATATAATTGTATGCACTACACATAATCTAACGAGGCACTATGACTTTGATGATTTCTCAGACTTCCAGTGTATTGTCTACCACAGAAGTGAGATCTTTTATGTGGATGTTCTCTACACACGACAAAAACAAAAATGGTTTACTTGGTGAAGCCGAGCTTACAGGAATTACAACAACTGTTAGCGCTCTTATTGCAAAATTCGATTCCGATGGTAATATAATTGCAAATTATAGTGTAAACAAAATTGATTTATTTTTTTTTCTTCTAAACACTACCATAGTACGAGTATATAATATAGAGTAGGTTGTGGGCGGTCCCAGGACAATAAAATGTACCATGGCTGATATATTAAAATAGTGAATTTGGATAACCGAGATTAGCTTCTATCTTGTTATATAAACATAATAGATCCTTAGATAAATTCCAAAAACTTCGAGACATTAAAATATTAACTTATTTACTGACATTTGTTTTTACTTTTAGGTGACCAACATATAAATATTGCAGAGTATTTCATGATGATTTTCGGATTATTTATTGATGAAACAATTAAATATGATATACATTGTTAATAATATTATGAGTGTGCTTAAATAATGAGAAATAAATTTGATATTTTTATGTTTACTTACAAGACTGTGTTACTTTATACATATTTCCATAATGTAAATATATATCCATATTGATAATAGGAAATATCAATGTCGCTAATATCAATTTTTTATGCTGCAAATATTGGTACTGTGCTAAAACACAGCCAACCATTAATTATTACTTGTGTGTGCTGTTAACAGACCTAAAGTTTTATATAAGCAGTATTTTTGAGAAAAAAATAGTATTTAATAAATTTCGACCATTTAAATTTGTTATAAGCTTCAAAGAAACTTTTGAATCTTATAAAATTGTTTTCTAAAATTAAAAGTCATTTGGGTGGAGTAAAATACATGCTTTCACTGTGGCAAAATTGCGAGGCCTTTGGCTGGTCCAATTTATTATATTCTACATAAGAGTACAAAAATGTATTAGGAATTAAATAATATTGATTTAAGTAATCCTACATTTAGGTAATTATAATGTTAATAGTTAACTTTTATATTAAGTTATTCTCAGCAACATAAAAATAAATTATAATAGAGCAGGTTGAATTACAAACATACACTTTCTAAACCTTTTTTTTTTCTAGTTTGTGGATTTTGTGTATCCACAATTCCAATTAATTGGTTAACATTTTTCTATACTTACTACAGTATAATTAATGCATACAATTCAACACCATAAGTTTCGATATTAAAATTTTATTTTAAACTTTTGAAATGTCCACATAGTGAAAATAAATGTATAGTCTATACAAGTCTTATGAATCACAACTAGGCCTCTATTAGTAAAAATATTTAATATAGGCATTATTTCATTTAACGAAATCAAGAGTAAAATTTTTTACAAGTAAATTGTTTTACAGAACTTTGGTTTGAGAAATATTTTGTCAAACAGAATAATTACTCAAATTACTTTCTATTATTTCAAAACCATTTCAACACTGTCTAAAATTGTTCAAGATACAAGATTTAACTTGTTCATAACTACATGACCAAATATGCCATATGATAAAATCATATTATCGGATAAGGTCGAAACATGTTGAACTAAATTAAACACCACCTTCTAAAACAATCAAGAAAATGATAATGACTACGTCAAATAACTTGAAGTAAGTTATTAGAAATCTATTTATGTTCTCTATGAAAATATTCAACTTGGCTGATCTCAATCTGGTATTTCAAATAATAATCTAAGTAAGTAATTAGCATACGTCATATAGTTGTAGAAAGATTACTTTGGTAAGTTACATGTATTATTAGTAAATTATTGAAAAAATTAATAAAATTGGTATGTTTGGTACACATGTAACGCTTACAAAAGTAGTGATTAACTAGGTAATATAGGAAAATTATTACATTGTAATAAATTGATTTAAAAGTAGGTTTCCTTACTACTTTTTAATAATATTTACAGTCTTTGTCATATTAAAGTACAATCTTAACAAATCATCGTGCAGAGGAAGGAGTTGTCAACATGACTACTTTTAATAATTGCTGAACCAGAAATGTATAGCAAAAACAATACCTACTTCGAGTGGTTGAAAATCAAAGACACAAATTTCCAGATTGCAAGAAACCCGAATGAGTAAGTATGCAGTATTTTCGAAAATACACTAGTGAACACTATGCTTAACATTTTTTTGCCACTGGCTTGAATACAACTCTTCAAATATGTAATATGCAAACAAAATAAAATGAAAAACGATTCCCAATATTTTCCATTTCTACAGGGTGATGAGTTTAACAATAATTTTCTCGAAAAGTAATAGCAGTTTCATAGTTTTTCTTTTTGAAAATCCTTTTATTTGTTTTATTTTACAATACTATAAAATTACTAAATAGTTAGGTAGGTACCTAAATATTTAAGCATTTTCCAGAGTGCTATCAATTATTAGAAATAAAATGGGAACGTATGTGTTTCATTGAATTTATTTTCTGAAGATTTTGACTGGTCAAATTTGGTCAATTTGTAATTTATATTTTGCTATTTCATCAATAATTATTTTCGATGCTCCTGATTAAAAAAAAAGTTCTAATATTCCAAGTACCAACCCGTAAACTCCCGATGATTTTCCTGTTTTCGTTTCCATTTCTATAATCCTTAATCAGTGTAAGAAACTTCTAAATAAGCCTCAGGGCTTGTAACGCTGAAAGTTTTCTTTTATTTATCGTCAAAATTTGGCGATTTTACAACTATTTCAAGATATTTTCATTTTGATGCAGTTTGTAAAGTTATTTGGAACAATTCAAACAATTGTAACTATTTTTATAAAAATGACGTGACGGTTTGACAAAAAAAAAAAAATAATAATAATAATAATAACCAACAAGGAATCCTGATTACTATTTTAATAAGTTTACACTTTAGTTTAATCATTTTGAGCTCTAATTTACAATTTTACGAAAATTGCCTATCTTTACTCCTTAGTAAATGGGTGGGTGGGTCGCATAACGTTAAAACGTCGACTAAGTATAAAAGCACATTTGTCATTAAAACCTAGTGAAGCAACATAATCAATATAATATTTTAAAAAGGTTTTAAATAACTTTTTAAAAGAAAATACTACTGTCGGATCAAGGCATAGTGAGAAATGAGCACATTATAACTAAAAGAGATAAAATCAAACAATTATAATAATCAAAAAAAGAGTTATCATGAAAATTCATTGCCTTGGGCGGCCGAAAATATTTTTTATAAATTTTATATAACCTAAAAAGAAAAAATTATACTAATACTACACTCTACCTTTCCTCCTATCCTAAACTTGAAACTTCAAAAATAATTATCCTAAATTGGTTATCGGCCAGTCAAAATGTTTAGTACATTATTTTCAATTTAAAAAGTTAATAAAATATATACGTAACCATTTAAGTTCCAAAAGTTGCTATCAACAAATCTAAGTTGAGAGGGGGATAAAAACAAAATTTTTTTAAAAAATTGAGATCAGTTGTATAAAAACAATATGGAAAAAAAAATCAAATATTAATTAAACCCAGTAAGATATTGACTGGTTCATGATAATAGAATCACCCTGTATACATTTTAGAATTATTTTCTCATCACAATTAAGTAAAAAATAAGTACATTATAGTACCGTATGAACATGTTTTTTTTTTGTATAAATAAAAAACAGTATTGTTTCCAGATTTAATAACATACATCGTTTACTATTTTGTTTATGTTTTTTTTTTTTTTTGCGGTCTATAACAAATAATAATGTATTATTATTTTATTTCACGCAAGTCACTATGCATATTTTTCCTAAAAAAATTAGATAACATTGTATTCACAACTATGCCATTTGGTCGAAAACCACTTTTAGAAATATTATAAGCCAATAAAATAATAAGAAAAAAAATATCACCACGCCATTTTACAAACAAAGCACTCCGAAACTAATCGAATGTGTATTTTGACTTTAGTAACAAAGATTTTTTTCGGGCTCAACCACTATTGTTGGAAAAAAACCATCATGTATTTCAAAAGTGCTGTTATCTTGTACGCGCTGTACTTCGTGCCGGTGACACAGGTAAATAAAAAAGACTAATAATATTTGAAAAAATTTAAATTATACAAAAAAAAACTATCGGTAATTAAAAGTATTTTTTTTTATTGTATTTATGATACTATATAGAGCGTCGGACTCAACATGAATGATGTTCAAAGGATTGTTGATTTGTTCAAAGGAGACAGAAAACCTATAAACAAATTTTCTATGATGGGAATAAAAAAATTGGGCAATAATGTCGGCAAAAAGATAGTTACTTCGTTCGAAGAAGTTGGAAATCCTATAAACAAAGTTACATTGGAATCTATAAAAAAATCGGGTGAAAATTTCGGCAATAACATTGTTAATTTGATCGAAAAAGATAAAACTCTAATCAACAATGTTGTTATAAAAACTATGAAAAACTTGGAGAATAATTACGACAAAGAGATTGTTAATTTGATTGGAGAAGACGGACACCCCATAAGCAACGTTACAATGGAAGGTATCAAAAACTCTGCGGAATTTTTCGGCAATAATATTGTTAATTTGTTCGAAAAGGACAAAAACCTTATAAACAAAGTTACTATAAAAAGTATGAAAAGTTTGGCGGATAATTGCGGCAAAAAGATTGATAATTTGTTCGATGAAGACGAAAAACCTATACAAAAAGTTACCATGGAAGATATCGAAAAATTGGCGAATAATTTTGGCATAGAGAATTTTTCAGATTTTAAGTACAACCAAGGTAATATACTATCTTTGAACAGGTTTGAAGCTTTTGACCGTCTTTTTCGTATTTAACATTTATCAGTACTACGCGCTTGCTGGCTATGCTCAATTGAAAATTGTTTACAATATTTCCTTAACGTTTTTTTTTAACTATAGATCTATCCAACGATGAATTAGTACAAGATCTTTTGGTATTTCTGGCCAACTACGATAAGCGTACCGACTACTGGATGCTGGTAATAACAAACAAAAAAATATTAATAAATTGCCAATTAATTTGCTTATTTTATTTGTATACTTTCTTCTTTACATAGACACCAAGCTTAACGTCTTACGAAGTCAGAATTTATGTGGGCCTGTTTAAACAATTCGAAAACGTTAAGCCACTCGACGATCGACTTCGCTTGATCATTAGCTCTTTAAATCTAAACATAGTTGCCAAAAACAGATTATTAAACAATGTTTTGATCTTAGTAGGCGAAGGTATTATTAATTAAACGAAAGGGTTAATTATTATATTTTGCCAATTTTTATCATTTTTAATTAATTGTTAGTTGGCGGTGTAATTAACGCCTCGGTGTTCTTGGAAGCCTTTTTGAGCATAAAATCACAAGTATGTATACAGTTTTGTCAATAGCTTGATAAAATACATGTCATATTCTTTTGACTGGTATGACATTTAAACAAACCAAAAAAAAATATATTTGGAAATAATAGCGCACTAGCATAAAACAAAACTCCAGCAATACACTT